GTGTTCAGATGCTCTGTCATGTCCTACTTGCCATGATGGAATAACATCTCTGAAACCATCAGCCAAAGGAAATCCTTCCTCCTTTGGGCTGTTTCTGTCAGATATTTTGTCACACTAAGGAAAAGAGTAGCTAACACAGGAATTCATGAAACTAAAATTGATGGACAAGGAGACAATTATTAGAGTATAAAGAACTTATTTTCAATAAAATGACAGTGAGTGTTGGTGAGCATGTACATATACACATATAGAATGTGAACATATATAATGTGTAGAAACAGAGTACATTGGTGATTCCCAGAGGTTGCGGAGTATGGGGGGATGGTGAATCTGGAGATTTGTTGGACAGAGTACAAGTTTCAGTTACACTAGGGAAATGTGTTTTTTGAGAGATGATACACAGCTTGATGACTACAGTTGGTAATGTACACTTCAAAATTGCTAAGAGGAAAACTTTAAATCTTTTTAACCACATAAAAATAAGTATGTGAAGTGCTGAATATATTAGTTATCTTCATTTAGTTATTCCAGTGTATACATATATTCAAACATATTATACCCCATAGATGTATACAAATATTGTCACTTAAATATTTTAAGGTTAAAATTTTGAAAATCAAAGATGACATATATATGAAATCTGTCCAGGCAAATGGGAATAATTCTTAATCAGACTGAAGAAACATAAATGGAAGGTACTGCTCTATTTAAAGTGGTTCTGAACACAAAACCATCGTGTTTCTAACTAATATAAAACTTAGGGATAACTATAACTCTCTCTAGCTCATAATTATCTGTCACTTGTTCAGTATATGAAAAGATGCTGCTTAAACTTCACCAGAACAGCCTTCTGATGACAAGAGCCCTTTACCCTTGACATCAAGGGAGGCCCTGAAACCACTCTGTGTCCTCAGAAAACACAGCAAGGTAGCCAGCCCCCTTAAAGACTATATGTGCCTATGAACATACAATTCTCGTCTGGATGCTTGCTCAACATGACCTGTATGTAGCTACTGGCAGATAAACTGCTTGCAGTATTGGCTTATCTTCGACTTGGAAAAGCAAATGCTTTGGGTTCTCTTAAGTTTTCCAGCCACCATGCTATCGAATTTGGATTTTCTGCCTGAATTTCCCATTTCAGGACACATTAGGATGCTAAGGTTTAAGCATATCCACCAAAGCTTCATGTGTCAAAATTCAGTTCTTTTTGCGAGGACTTAAAAGGGGGAAATTTAATCCAACTATAGCGTTTAAAAGAGATTCCTTTGGTAGTTATTCACATTAGGTAAGGTTAATGGAGTGGATCCCCCATAAATGAATTTTTTTTTAATTTTTTTATTCATATGTGCATACAGGCTTGGGTCATTTCTCCCCCCTGCCCCCACCCCCATAAATGAATATTGAGAGACACCTGAAGACACTCATTCACTCTCTTTCTCTCTCTCCCTCTCTCTCCTCTTTCTCTCTGCCATGTGAGGCCCTGTGCCACCATGTGACTCTGCATAAAATAATGTCTATTATATGACTTTAAGCAAAAGGTTCCTATGTTGAAAAAGACACAAAAGTAACTCACCTCTATGGGAGAAAAAAAAATTTCCTGGGAAGGAACACAAGAGAATTTTCTAGAGAAAAGTATTCTTAAAAGAGGTGCTTGTATTTGCCTGTCAAAAGCATAAGCTATGGTTATTGTAGGGAAAGTGATTATTAAGCTAATCACCATACCCAGGCACATTTACTGTTGCTAGGTAACCACCCAAGGTCAGATAGTTATGTAACTATTGCTGGATTTGCATGTGTGGTACATGTAATAACTTGTCTGGATGCTACCTTTGTCTATACTGGTATAAAACTGCTATACTGAGTAGCCTGGGCAACAAGGGCCACGATGTGGTAGACAATGGGGGCTGGCTGGCTGAGGGCTGCAATAGGTAATAAATCATAAAAAACTCCCTCCTGGCTCCTGTTTGTACTCCAGTCTGCACAAATCAACAGACCCACCTGCTTGGAGCAGGGTGTCTGACCACAATTGGTGGTCATCAGGATTTTCAGCAGTCCAGTACGGAGACATCCACACCTCTGAGGGATGCAGGGGTGAGGGGCTAAAAGTTTCTTACAGTTAAGAAATGCCATAGAGAAGGATCCGGCCAAGAGGACTAGGTTACAAGAGTATAGGACAAGGAAGATCCCCTGGAACTGCATATCTAAGCTCTGGAGGCAGATTTCTTTTTCTTTTGTTGTACTGGGGATTGAACCCAGGGCTTTATGCTTGCCAGGCAAGCTCTCTACAACTTGAACCAAGCCCAGCCCCAGAGTCCATATTTCTACCAACATTCAGTTTGTATTACGTATTCTCTAAGACAGAAGCTTTCTCTGCCACATGAGGATACAGCAAGAAGGCATTCCTTCCCAAAGAAGAAAGAGGGTCCTCTCAAGGAAGTGGCTCAGCCAGCACCTTGGCCTTTACTTCTCAGTCTACAGAAATAATTTGCTGTTTAAGCCACCCAGCCTGTGGTTTTCTGTATAGCAGCAAAAACTGACAATAATCTCCCCTAGTCATCAGGGCCTGACACCACACTTTTAATGCCTGTATCCAACTGTGCTGCAATTTTCCACTTTCAGCCACACACACCTGGTCTCAGCTTTCAGTGGCTGCTATTCCATCATGCAGCTATTTCTCTGGGATGCTTATAGCATTCAAATTTCCTCTCTGCATTGCATAAACCCAAATCTTTCATTTCCTTGCTCTAATTTTGCTCTACTATGGCCTCAGCTGCATTCCAATTATTAGATCCTCCATCACTTGATGCAAAATGAGTTCTAATTTCCACTCTGCATTTTCTTTTAGAAGGGTGCCATTTAATCTCTAGGCATTTGAATTGTTTTCATTAATTTTTGATTCCACAATAAGAATTCATACACATTATTTCAGTCTTGGTAGTTTGATTGCATCTTAAGGCCCAGAATATGTCCTACTTTTATTGATGTCCCTGTGCACTTGGAGTATGTGCCTATTCTGCAATTTTGGATAGACTATTATAGAGTTGCCTAACAAGGTGGTTCAAATCTTGTTATCACTGCTATCTATATACTTCTCTTATCTGAGAGGCAAATTATTTTCCAACTGTTTGTGGATTACTTCTTTTCAACTTCTGCTGGATATACTTCAAAGCAACCAACGTCTATTAGGTGTTAGGTTTGCCTTCATTATTAAATACCCTTTATTGCTAGTATACTTCCTTCCCTAGACTCCTTTTCTGAAGTTAAAAAAGACAAACCAACTTCCTTTTGGTTGGTTTTTGAATGATACTTTTTTACTTTTAAATCTTTCTTGTATTTAACATCTGGCTTTGTACGCAGCAGGTGGCTGCATCTCGTAATTCTATTGCTCTTGTCAGCTTTTGTCATACTTGGGGTAAATAGACCACTTACATTTATTGTAATTGTGCACCAGACACACGTGACCCAAAGTGGGACCAGGGGCTTCTGAAGCAATGTGGGTTATACTCTGGCCACCTTTTTAACACAGTCTACTGTGGCATGAGCCACAGGTTACCCAGCACAGAGAACCTGCCCAAATGTCTTCAGTGGGAAGACTGCTTGAGGAAGGTAGTTTGCCAACAGCAGTAACTAGACCTGTTACTTTAGCTGGTGTGTAAAGACCTTATTTTGTTAAGGGTAGATGGACTTGGGTTGACTCTTAAAAGGGTAAAGCCTGAGCAGTTATCACACCAGTCTACACAGTGACAAGGGCCTAGACCAGGAAAGGAAGTGGAAAGACACAATGCCAAAGAAGTCCATGGTTTCCATGGCATGACTGCTGTGAAGCCAGGCCAAGAAGTCAGCACCCCAACTTCTACCTAGGGGAGGCAGGCAGAACAACTCCCAAAGATGTCCAGGTCCTAATCCCCAGAGCCTGTGACTATAGCAGTTGTGAGGCAAAGGATGTGCTGAGGTTGCAAATTGGCAGACTATGAACAGGAGACTGTCCTAGGTTATCTGAGTGACTGACCCAAGCAATCAAGGTGGGAGAGGGGAGGAAAGCAAAGCCAAAGAATGAGAGGCTAATGGCAAGAGGGTAGAAATGCTAAGCTGCAGCCTTAAAGATGAGCCAAGGTGCATGGGACCTCTGGAAGCTGGGAAGAGCAAGGGGATACCTGACTGCAGTCCATGAACTGTTAGAGAACACACTAGTAGGTTTAAGACACTAAAGTCCAGGTAATCAGTGATATGAACAAGTGATAGACCATGTAATCAAAATAACATGAACAGCAACCACTACATTGAGAAAGGTACAAACTTTCAGATCTGGGGCTGTAATTCAACCTAGAAAGGAGCCCTCCATCTTGTAAGGCCTGCAGTTCTGATTTCATGAGCATCCCTCTAGGTCTTCAAGACAAAGTCACAGAATTCACACCAGCATTAGAACAACAGCAGTATCTGCTACAGTGAGATCACAATGTAGGAGTAGTAGAATAAAATTAAAATGGTCATTTGATACAATGGCATTGAGTCCATCCTACTGGAATAAAACACGGTACAGTTTTCCACTCACTTTTGTATTATATGAAAACACTGGGTCGAGTTCATTAGAAAGTCTTTATTACAGAGGAAGAAAATGAAAATGTCCTGAGTTGGTCACACTAATGAGAGATGCTACTTTTCAAAAGTTGCTAAGCTCTAAAAGAGTGGGTGAGACCAGAGCAAGGGTTTAACCAAACAGGGTTAAAGCTAAATTAGACCCATTGTCTCAGTCCTGGCTAGGCAAAAATTCCCTTCACACTTGCAGTGAGGCAGGCGACACAAGTAACCACTGGGCTCAAGCAACCTTTCCAAGCTACTGGGCACCAAGAAATGTCCCAGAGTGCCAATCACACAGTGCATAACCAGAGAATTCAAAAAAAAAAAAAAAAAACAGCTTAGAAAATGCTGCTCAATATAGGAAAACTAGCATGTTGAAAACAAGTGGAAGCAGAAAAGAAAAATGGAACTTGGATCTCACAGCAAAAATTACTGACAGTTAATCTTGTCAACTTGATTGGATGAGGTTAGTAAAGCCAATGTCATTGTCTCTGGGCATTGCAATTGGATCATGAGGGCCCTGCCTGGTCAATGATTTAATCTACCCCTATATGTACAGACTACAGGGAGGTGGTGGGACTGTGGGAGAAAGTGAGTTGTTGCTAAAGGCGTGCCTTTGAGGGTGTATCTTGGTCCTGGCTGTCACTCCTCTTTGCTTTCTGGCTACTGGAGGCTTTCCTCTAGCAAGTCCTTCCTCCAGGATGCTTCTGCCTTGCTAAGGCCCTAAAACTAATGGTGTAAGTTGACTATGGACTGAAATCTAAAACCGTGAGCTAAAATAAACCATTAAACTGTTTCTCCCAGGTATTTGTAAGAGCAATGATGGTCTGATTAACACAATTACACAAAAGAAAACACCCATGAAGACACTGGTGGCATGAAAGCCTTTTTTAATTTGTTGATACACATTTGACAAAATATCTTGGAATAAAATAACCCATGAACAGGCATGAGGTATTTACAGTAACAAAACTGAAGTATTTCTCAAAAATGTATTTACATTTTTTTCTTCTGTCTCTTTCTCTCTCTCTCTCTCTCTCTCTCTCTAACATTTCACTATGGTACCTAGGCTGGTCTTCGGCTCCTGGGCTCAAACAATCGTCCTGCCTCAGCCTCCTGAGTAGCTGGGATTCCAAGTGTACCCCACCATGCCGAGCTCTGCTTATAAAACATTTTGCTGTGAATCTGGAAGACTTTCAGCTTCTACCCATTACCCTGGTCTTAAGCACCAACAGGGGGGCACGTAAGGCCCAGGCGGAGGAGTTTCAAACTCTGCAACACATTTGGCAATTAAGGATCATCTGTTAGTGTGAGCTGGCAGGGAAGTGAAGAGCAAGACACCACACGGAAGACTCCCCTGGAATAACTAAGGAAAAGAGCAACCCCACTACACTATCACTCTCTTAGCCTCCTGCTTTAAAGACTTACTCAACTTTCCCTGTTAGCAGAAAAATCAGCCACCCTGAGACTCCCAACTTTCTATGACATAAAAGTTAATAAACATCTAGAAACTGTTAGATTTATAAACTAATTTTACATGATCAAATAGAAAATAACTCATGATTTGAAAATACATTTAAGGAACAACTTTTTTCTCAAATTTATTTTTCACACCTAATTCTTAAACATTCCACTTAATTTTTTTTTTTTTTTTAAAGATATTGGGGATTGAACCCAGGGCCTCGAGCATGCTAGGAAGTCCTCCACTGAAAATTTCTTTTATCTGAAATCAGTTTTACATAACACACAAAGATATGTTTTAACTAGGTGTTTAGAACTTGCTCTGTTTACTAAATAGAATGCCTACCCCTTTGTATTACTATTCAAATATACTTTTAAAAAAACAGAAGTTTTATTCATCTGAAATACACAGTAAAAATGTGTTGACTTATAAGGTAGCCAAAAAAGAGACCATGAACAAATAACCAAATGCTTCCTTTGTAACACTAGTGAAACAATTTAAACACAGTACACCATACACATCACCATCTACTGATCCAACTAGGCTACGGAACAAGCTACAATGTCAGCAAACAACTCTGCAGCAGAGCAAGTACTCACTCTGTGCTTGAAAATCAGATTGGCTGCTCCTCCAATGGGGACTCGAGGGCTTCCATCAGCTTCTTATTTGCCTCCTCGTTATGCCGGCTTTGACAATGCGTTAAATGCTTCTTAAAGCCTCTTGGGAAATTTGACTCAAAATTACAGCGTGGACATTTAAGTAAACTCTGCCCATGGGCTGCTACGTGATTTTTAAGGAGAGATTCCAAAAGAAATGCCTTCCCACAAATTGTGCACTTGTATGGACTATGGACATTGTGCTTATTGACCAAATGATGCAAAACTGCACCTTTTTTCATAGCACGACAGCAACAAATTTTGCAATAATACTTTCCCTTTCCTCGCTTCATGTATTTTGCAATCTCCTCTTCAGAGATAAATGCTTCTTTTTCTTCAGTGAACTGCAGCACGTTTTTGGATTGCTCTGGACTGGTCATGTCCATTTTGCTCTCTTTGCTAAAATCCAGAGATTCCACATCCACCTGTTCTTGATCACTGCTTGACTCTTGGCCCTTCAGGTCAATGGTGTCCAAATCTGATCTGATGTACTCACTACTACTAAGTTCAGCATCCGAGTTCTCTTGGCTGTCCTTCTTGAGCTTCTTGGAAGAAGGACTTAAAGCATCTTCCAGGAGTTTCTTAGGTGTGGCCAGCAGCTCTTCCGGAACCAAAGTGTCTCCCCTTTCCTCATCTCTGGCATCCAGCTGCAGTTCATCTCCAAGCTCTGCTGCCTTCTGAGCCTCTGAGAGCATGGGTGCTTTGGGGAGCTCAGGGAAAAGCGTGTGCTTCCGGGACTCAGGGAAAAGCACACGTTTCCGTGGTTCTGGGGAAACAGGAGGGACTGCTTTGGTGGACTCAGGAAACAGCGTGGACTTTCTAGGCTCAGCATCGATAGAGAGGACAGGCTTCCAGACATCTGAGGCCACTTTGGGGGACTCAGATGACCCAGAAGGACCCGATTTCCGTGCCTCAGGGAAGACAGAAGATTTCTGAGGTTCCATCATAAAGGAAGACTTCCAGAGATCAGGAGAACCACCACGGGAACTTTTCTGAGCCTCAGAAAAATCAAGTGATGCAGAGGTTTTCCTCTGGTCAGGAGAAAGCTTCCAGAGGTCTGGTGACCCTGAGGGTTTCCTGAGCTCTGGAGAACCCGCTGGGCTTCGGATATCTGGGGAGAGTGGTGGGCCTGGCCTGCGAAGCTCGGGAGACACAGGGGGAACTGCCTTCCAGTGCTCAGGTGACAAAGTGGGAGCAGTCTTTCGAAGCTCTGGCGGGCCAGACTTCCACGACTCTGGAGATGTGGGGGGAGTTTTCCAGGAACCAGGTGAGACTGAAGACTTCCAGGATGCAGGGGACACAGGTGGAGTTGGTTTCCAAGGGCCTGGTGATATAGAAGGAATTGGCTTCCAAGGTCCGGGAGACACAGATGGAGCAGGCTTAGATGGCTTCCAAGGTCCTGATGATGCAGAAGGACTGGATTTCCAAGGCCTAGGGGACCCAGGTGGCCCTGGCTTCCAGGATCCTGGTGACCCAGCTGGGGCTGGTCTCCGGGGCTCTGGGGAGATGGCAGGGAATGTCTTCCAAGGTTCAGGAGATTCTGATGGGGATGGCTTTCTTGGCTCAGGGGAGGCAGTCCGGGCTGGCTTCCGAGACTCTGGAGATGCAGTTGGTGATGGCCCCCAAGGCTCAGGGGAAGTAGCCAGAACCGGTGACTCTGGGGAAGAGGCTGAAGGGGGACCCCCTGTGTCTGTAAAGGGAGAGTGCTTCTGCGGCTTGGGGCTCACAAGAGCAACTTTCACTGGCTCAGGAGATATGGAAGCAGGCTTCTGAGGTTCTGGAGAAGGGACGGAGGCAGACTTCTGTGGATCACAAACCAAAGGAGCTGGTTTTGGAAGTTCAGGAGAAGGAACAGGAGTTTTTGGTGGCTCAGGAGGGACAACAGGGCCCAGCTTCTGAGGATCCAGGGGAACAGGAGGGACAGGTTTTGGTGACTCTGGAGACAAACCTGGGCCAAGTTTCTGTGCTTCTACGGGGAGGGCAGGGACAGGCCTTGGTTCTACTGGGCTAGAAGGTGTATTCTGGTGTTCAGGAGAAGGGCTTTCCACAGGATCTGCCTCTTTGTTTAACTGGCTTTTTGGGTGATCAGTCCACTTCTCTGGGGCTGCATGTTTGGACGTGATGTGATAGTACACATTAGAGTACATCTTGCTGGTGAAGAAGCACTTGTGGCAGTGGAAGAGTTTCGCGCTTTTCTGGTAAAATATCATCTTCCCTAGCCCCCCAGCATCCATGTGGTCACAGAACTCTGGGTGCATGGTGCCCATGTGGATCTGCACACTCTCATAGTCGGTGCCCCTGAACCCACAGTGGTCACACTGCAGGCGGGCTGAGGGCCTACGCACTTCCTGCAACACCTCCATCTTCTCTGTCACAACACACACTGTGCACTTTAGGTAGAAATGTTGTGCTGCAACAAGGCAGAAATAAGTTATATTTGTAGATCATGATTTTGAATAAAATGTTGTCCTAGTCCATGCTATGACTGCAAACTTAGTCTAGAATAGCATATGCTTTATTAGATATCTCTAAGATTTACAAGAGAAGGGGATGGAAAATGAATCTGAACAGAGTCCCAGGCACTCTACTAGGAGTTTCATATAGACCATCTCATTTAATCCTCTAGCACTATTACTTATCGTTTTTCATTTATAGATGAAGAAACTGAGATTCAGAGCAGTTAAATGAATTTACTTCTCCAGTCCAGGTTGTAGAACTCAGTGACCTAGGTGAGACCCCAGAATTACCTATTGACACTGACACTCTACACTTTGGCCCTAAAACCCTGAATCACGAAGTCGTCAGCACACAAAGATAAGTGAATACCAAGATTACATGTAGGTTATTTAAGGCTGGGCAAGACACTTCAAATCCTCCCAGAAAAGCATTCAACAATGAAATCTAGCTACAAAAAGATAAACTTTATTAACCGAATACTGGCTTGATTTAATGTTAACATTTCTCGTAATGTTGTACCTATCCTAATATTAAGCATTTAATTCATTCACTTAATAAATGGATTGTGCCAAGTGCCAGTGGCTCATGCCTGTAATCCTAACTTCTTCTTGTAATCCAAGAAGCAGAGATCAGGAAGATCATAGTTTGAAGTCAGCCGAGGAAAATAGTCTGAGACACAAAAAAGAGCTGGTGGAGTGGCTCAAGGTGAAGGCCCTGAGTTCAAACCCCAGCACCACAAAAATAAAAGCAGTTCCCTCAGCTTTTTGGTAAGGCTGAGACCACAGACTTTTAAGACAGAATAATTGATAAGACTGAATCCTCAGCCAGAGAAGAGCCTAGTGATTTGTCTCACCAGATAAGTAAGCCCTTACCAAATAAATAAAGATGCCAGCCAGACCTTTCTCAAACTCACCATAACTTCAATTTCTGTAAGGGGGGGGGTTGGTGGAGGGGAGACTGGGGTTTAAACTCAGGGCTTCACGATTGCAAAGCAGACACTCTACTGCTTGAGCCATACCTCCAGCCCATTTTGCTCTGGTTATTTTGGAAATGGTGGTCTCAGGAACTATTTGCCAAGGCTGGCCCCAAACCACAATCCTTCTGAAACTCAGAATCTCAGCCCCCCAAGAAGCTAAGGTTACAGGTGTGAGCCATTGGTACCCAAAGTGACCGCATTTTTGTTTGTTTTTTGGTGATGGGGGGGAGGTTGAACTCAGGACCTCATGCTTGCTAGGCAGGCACTCTGCATGACCTCATTTTTGACAAGCACTCAGACAACTGCCAGTGCAACTGCACTGTAAAAACAGCTGACATTTTGTTTATTATAAATGTTATTGACAAGCAGTGGTGAAAGAAGCAACACAATAGACAGGACCAAGAGTCAAAAGGAAGAGGACTCTGGCAGGAAGTGGGATGGTAGTGTTTGGACCCAGGGAGGAAAGGAAGGACCTGCTTCAGTAGCTTCTGCCCCCTTCTTTCCCTGTGTGCACATGGTTTAGGTGAGTTTATTCACAAGAACACAACAGGATAAACTGGCCATGCATATATAATTGCTACCAGTATATTCTGGCACACCATCAGCCCCTTCTCCATTCCCTACCCCTGCTAAGCTTTAATACTGACACCAGACCTCCCCACCTACCCACAGATGGTGCTATCAGAGTCCTCTCCGAAACCCAAAAGTCAGATGTAACTTACCTGCTCACATTTCCTAGAAGTTTCCCGGACACCTGCAGTGTAACATTTGAACATGACATACAAAGCTCTTCAGTCTGGTTCTGACCATCTGCATTCTCAAAGTGCTGACCACATGTAATTCCCTGACTCTACAAGCTGGGCCTTTCCACAAGATATTCCCTCTCTTTTACATTCCACATGCTACCCAGCCATCAGGCAAATCCTTCATCCTTCAGACAGTTCATCTTTTTAAGCACAGGTCATTTTCCCTCTCCCAGTCTCTGATGCCAGCCATATGCACACTTCCACCCCCTAGCACTCCAGCCTGACTCCTCACCAGACCATAGCTCAGAGAGCAGGGATGATCAATTTATTCATGGCTGTAACCCTTGTAACATCCTTGGTACACAGAGTATGTTCATAAAACATTCACTCAATCCTAACACTCTCATGAAGACTGGAAACTCAACCTTAGACTCACAGACTTTAAAAACTAGAGGAGACCTGAGCACCCATCTAAAGGATCATCTACTTTAAAACTCCAACTTATAGTTGAGGAAACAAGGCTGACAGTGAATGGCCTGCAAATGACCAGCCTCTGACAAAGGGCAGAAAAGAAAGTTCTTTCTAGAACATTATAAATGCAGTAAAATCTGGAAAAGCCAGTATAAAGTGGCCAAAAGTAACAAGATGAACCCTATCAACCATTTAGAATCCACATATCAATGGTATAAAACAGGAATGTGTGTCCGACATTCTGCACTGGGTAGGGTATCCCAGTCTCCAGATACTATCTCCAGCTGTGGGCAGAAAAGACACTTTAAAAAGCATCTTGGGACAAACTAGGGAACAAACAAAAGGCAGAACACAATGGCAGGGAGAATTAAAAAACGAGTCGCTGGTGGCTCACACCTATAATCCTAACTTCTCAGGAGGATCGAGGTTCAAAGCCAGTCCAGGCAAATAGTTTGTTAGACCCTATCTTGAAAAAAACCACCACAAAAACAAGGGCTGGTGGAGTAGCTCAAGGTATGGGCCCTGAGTTCAAACCCCAGTAATGCCAAAAAAAAAAAAAAAAGTCATTTGTGAGCACAGACACTTAACTTCACAAGGGAAAAATTATATTCTAGAAGCAGTAAGTAGAAGACAGCAGAACAAAATCCAGCTCAACAGTTTTGCAAAATGCTCCAGCAGGACATGGAACAAGATGATTTGTCAGGAAGACCCCATGAGAAGTCAGTACTGGACCAAAAGGGTCGTCAGAGGACTTGAGTCAAACCTTTTTATTTTACAATTGAGAAAACGAATGTTGAGGAAGAGAAATAACGTGTCAAAGATCACAACAAAAATTAGGTCTGATTCTCTGCTGAAACACAATGCTCTTCCCCACCATGTCTGTCTGAACAATCCATGGGTCCTTTACAGACCTCAGTCCAGGATCCAGCTTCTAGGCAGGGCTACAGAGCTGAGATTCCTTCCAGCTTTAACGTGTAGAAAAATGCTTTTCAAAATTTCAGAGCTCCTAACTATAAAAATAACTCTAAATCATCCAGATTAATGGAAATTTCATTCTTTTTGCCACTGTAGACTGCATCTTGCATTTTAAATTCTAATCCTTGGCGCTGTCAGCCCATCACGAGTAGCTTCAATGCAGCCCTATGCTATATTGTACCACATCTATTCCCATCCAATACTACTAATCATCTTTTAAAATACATTTTGAGAGTTAGTGAAGTGGCTCATGTGGCAGAGCACCTGCCTAGCAAGCTCAAGGCCGAGTTAAACCCCCAATACCGCCATACACACAAAAAAAATTTTTTTGATGTACACCTTTTTACACCAAAATCCAAGATGTAGAGAATGGTTAAAGCTAACTATTCTGTATACTTACTACCCTTGTTCTTCACCCCTAGCTGGTTTTTAAAGTTAATACAATATTATTTTTAAATGGCTTTATTTTAAAGAAAAATTGCACAAAATTCCCATGAACCGTTACATCCCCCTTCATTTCTCCTGTTAATCGTTGCATTAATTAGTGGTGGGTATTTGCATATTGTTTTGTTTTCTGGGCCAAGGCGGTACTAAGGTCTGAACTCAGGGCCTCCATGAGAGGCACGCCTCTAATGCTTGAGCCACGCCCCCGCCCCTTTTTTGCTTTAGTTTAACAACAGGGTCTCGCATATGTGGCCCACCGCGCCCAGCCTTTACTGATGAGCTGGGGTCACCTAACGGCGCCTCCCTAGCAGCCAGGGTGACAGACCGGAGCCGGCGGTCGGAAGGGCACTAGGCACAAGGCCACGACTTACAGTCCGTGGGCTCGGATATGTGTCGTGTCGTGTGCATACCACTCGGCGTCCACGGAATGTGTACTCCCTAAAAGTGTCTCGCGTTCCTCACAACCTCTGATGCTTTCACCTAGGCACAGGGTCACGGGGTGCGCCTAACTTCATTGGGGGACACCACCCGCACAGGCGAGCAGCGGGAGCCCCGCCCTCCCCCTCTTGGCACCGCCTCCGGCCCTTTCTTGGCTGGGCGCCGCTCCCCAGGTCCCGCTAGGACCGCCCGCGGCCATCCGCCCGCGTCAGCCCACTAGAGGGGGCCCCGTTGCGGCTGCGGCCCCTGGACTCCGGACAGCAGCCTCGGCAGATTCCACAGCCACGACCCCCTCCCCCGCGAGAAGCGAGGTGCAAGGAGCGGAAGGAGCCGCGGTTCGCGCGGGAGCAAGACCGCGCACAGAGAAGCCGTGTCCGCCGCCCCACCCGGCCCGCCCGCCGCTCCTCACCGTCCGGCGCCGCGTCCAGGCCAGGGCGGCGAGGACCCCCGGGCAGCAGCAGCTGCGGGGCCTGCGCGCGGCCACCCGAATGGCGGCGGGACGCAAGGCCGGCCCGGAAGTGCCGCGCGCCCGCCCCGGAAGTACGCTCTCGCGCCCTCCCCCGCCCTCCTCGCGGCTGCTGGCGCGGAAAGTTCCGGTTCTCGGGTGGGCGGGCGGGAAGGGCCTGAGCGGGGTCCGCTTTCGTGAGCGCCGAGCTGTGTGCGCAGCTCCAAAGTTTTTCAACTTTTTATTGTAAACTGCGCAAAGATTCCCAGACTTCTTCCGTGTGCACGCTTCGCTGGAATTGAGTGCCTTCAGGGACATGCAGCAGTCACCATGGTTCCTCTCCACAACTCTCCACCTGCAAAGCTGAAACCCACCTACTAAACCCCTCCTGTGCCACTGGGGACTGACATTTCATCTAACACAGTGGCCTGCGAGTTTGTCGGTGTTATACATGTTGTACAATTTCCCGGTCCGGGGGTTGGAACTCAGGGCCTTGTACTTGCTAGACAGTCGCTCCAGCTTTTCCCTGCGTTTTTAAAATTGGGTCTCTCTTTTTGCCACCGCTGGCCCCGCGCGCACCACAAGCCCAGCTGTGTCTTAAGACAGGGTCTCACTAACGTTTGCTGGGCTGGCATGGGATTACAGACGTGCACTACCAGACCCAGCCGGAATGCCTTTCCTTTTTAAAGCTGAATGACAGTCCATCCTATGGATGTATGTATTGTTGCAGGAACACTCAAACAGAGAGACGGGGCGCCAAAGCTTTCCTGAAGCAAGTTTATTAAGCAGGCCAGCGGCGAATCAGCGGATTTGCAATCCAAGGCTGAGCCCCAAGAACAAAGGGGAATTTCCTTATATACCATTTAGAGCAGGTTACAGAAATGGGGGAGCGGGTACAGCTTGTCCCATACATGGTCACATACTATTTCATTGGCCATTTTAACCTCTGGTGCAAGGTGACCCTTCTCTGGTCTCACCCAGGTGACATTCCTTAAATCTGTTATTTTTGTTTCACTATTGCACTCTTTCTCTCATTATCTCCATATCCCCCCCCCTTCCTGCCACATTCCCCCCTTTGATGCTTGACCCACCTCTGGGTCAAAGAGATTCATCTTGATCTAGGGGTTTACAGTTCCACAGCATCATTACATGAGCAGCTGGCTTCCATAATGGTCTTGAAGGACAGCAGTACCAGGGGGATTAGGCAGGGTAATATCAGGCATGCTCCTAAAACAGGGAACTTTGCCCCTGTTTAGGTCCTGAACCCACCTAGGATCTAAACAGGGGCAAAGCCTGGAACAGGTCATCGGGACTGTTAGGAAAACGCCGCACACCGCACACAAAGGAGGCTTACAAGAGTTATCTCATGCCCAAAAGTTTAATAAGCACGCTGGCTGGCCTCCAGAAAAAGGCACAGCAGCTTCTCTCAGCCAGTCTGATCGTAAGTAGCATTTGGGAGAAAGCAAGGGCAAGAGATGGTCTTTGATCTGCAAAAGAAGAGACCAGCTGCAGGAGCAAGGTCTAGGGGCAGGCAAAAGGAGGTGGCGGAGATAAGGGACATTGGGCTTTGATCGGCAAGGGATGAGACCAGCTGCTGAAGCAAGGTCTAGGGGCAGGCAAAGTAAAGGGGTGGGAGATAAGGAACGGTGGGCTTTGTTTTGCAAGGAGTGAAACCAGCTGTGGCTTAGGCTGCAGAAGAGGCTGTACTTATCAGGGACTCCATCCCTTCCAGGTCTGCACAGGGACATGGGCAAACTTTTTCATCTTGTCAGTAATCTCTTCAATTACCTTTTCATCATCATCAATTGTAAACAGCAGTTACTCAGATTGAACTTTCCACATACGCTGCCCTCTGAGGCTAGCAAATAGTCCAAAGCCAAACAGTTTTGGTAGATGGTGCTGCGTATTTTAGTTTGTTGTTTTGCTAACACGTTGAGGATTTTAGCTGTTTCATTAGTTAGAATTTCGGCCACTGACTGAAGCCCGATGATGCGGCTGAGCATATAGATTGGGGTGCGATAGCCCCAGGAGCCATCTTCTGCTCATGTAGCAGGACCATAATATTGAATGATCCACTCTGGAAGCCATTCATTGTCCTTCCAGTCCCCTGTTTGTAGGGCATCTTGCTTTTTCCTGTTTACCCTTTCTTCATAAATGGAGACTCCTAATTTTTCACCTTGTCTAAAGGGGAGCAAAAAGAAAGAAGGCCAATGGTGCCCAGAACACAGGACCCGAACCAGTCGTTGGGAAGGATTGTGTAAGCTCGTTCCCCACAGATCCAATATAGCCCCTTAGGCGCCCACCACTCTATGCCCACGGTCAGATTATTCCATGCTATTGCAAGTTTAGGGAAGTTAGCCAGCAGGTGAGGTTGTGGCTCTGTGTAATTGGGAGCCCCCACCACCACCACCACCACTGAGTCACCTTGAGCAGTATCATTGTAAAACTTTTGTTTCAAGTAGATCAAGTTCCCTACCAGGGTGGAGAATTGGTCTTTCGGAAAGGAGATACAGTAATTCCTGATAATAGAGGTTTTTAGGCTCTGAGTGCTCTCCCCGTGGCTAGGGAGAGCAGTTTTATTAAAGGGCTCCTGTGGGTTTTGTTCTCTTGCTTCCTATGGCCAATGGTCTCCCATATTTGTTCATCCACAAACAAAATGTGAAGTTACATTTAGAGTTTGGGTTATGGACTCAGCTAGTGAGAGAAACAGGTTTTTGGTTTAACTGAGATGGGAAACTCACTTTACATCTTCTCGTAGAAGGAGTGAAAGACCTGGTATGAGGAGCTCTCATGGGTAATAGTTACTAATTTGAGGTGCAGTAGAGTCCCGGATCAAGCCCCTTTCCATTTATCATTATACCAATCTTATGTTTCTGTGCCCAACCTGAGGGCTTAAGTATAGTAAAATTTACAGGGTTACAGGTGCCAAGGGAGCAGTTAGAGGTTGCTACTCCTTGTTGAAGGAGGGTGGAGGGTTCTGTCTTTTGCCAGGTAGCCCATGAAACACAACTCCAGTATGGGCAGCAGTTCCAGCTTGCGTCAATACATGGACAAGAGTTGTCTTCCTGGCACATATACTTATCATTCAACATGTAAGTTTTCTCCCAGGCCAGGCCTCTGCAGGTGTTTCTAATATCCTGAGGTCAATAGATGGAGTTTTTAGCTATTACCGCACACACATCAAAGTATATAGACACTGGCCTTTTGGGGTTGTAAACATGTGTCTGGCTAATAAGCTCCCCAGTGCTGGTGAAGTTTTGGACCTCTAGCCATTGCTCCTATGGGCAATAGATGGGGTTAAAACAGATATTCTGACTGTAATGAGAGCACATTGAGTAGGTGGTATGGTTGTGGGAACATGACCCAACAGCTGTGCCTGCACAAGAATAATATGTATGGAAAACCAGAATTTTGGTAACAACACTTCCCACTCGGGTAGTGCATATACATGAGTCAAGTCAAGGCCTGGTGGTCCCCAGGTAGAATGCTGACCAAGATTAGCAAAAAGAAAGTATGGAAGGGACTCATCCCCAAAGGTGAGATGGGTGACTCCTCAAGCTTCTGCTGTGCGTAGACTATTCAGCTTCCAGAGTAACTACAGCAGGGCTAACATCTCATTGTCTGTGGTCTTCTGTTGTCTCCTGGGAAGAAGGGTCCTGTAGGGGAAGGGTATGGGTGTTATGAAGGGTGATCTTGCATGATGAGGCTGGGTCAGGGATGCACTCCCATTAGAGGGAAGCTGGCTCCACTTTGCTGTGGTGGATCCAGGAACGATCTCTGCTACTTTAACTGCGGTGGGGGTAGACAAAACAATGACAAAAGGGCCCCTCCAGTAGGGCTTTGGTGGTTGAACATTCCATTCCTTTATCCAAACAGCATCCCCTGGTTTGTAAGGGTGTGTGGGAGTTGTCAGGCTAACAGGGAGTCTCTCTCTTACCTAGTCATTGATTTTTGAGAGCATCAACCCAAGGGCCTGCATCTGTCTCAGGATGAGGTCACTTATTTCCTTAAGGTCCCCTCGTAGGCCATTAACTAAAGGGGTGAGCTCCCAAAAAGAATTTCAAAAGGGGAGAGACCTATCCACTTGGTGGGGCTAGACCTAATTCTAAGCAAGGCTATGGGAAGTAACTGATCCCATTGTAGGTGGGTCTCCTGGCATAGTTTTCCCAATTGCAATTTTAGAGTCCTGTTGACACATTCTACTTTTCCTGAACTCTGAGGGCAGTAGGCCATGTGAAGCTTCCAAGTTATTCCTAAGCCCTTAGCCACCAACTGTACTACCTCAGCCACAAAGGCCAGTCCATTGTCCAGTCTAATAGACACAGGTATTCTGAACAGAAGGATGATTTCCTTTAACAGATACCTAGCCACTTCCCAGGCTTCCTCAAGTAGGGAAGGCTTCCTCCCATCCTGAGGAGGTGCAGACAAACACCAGCAAATATTTACATCCTCTGGCCCATGGAATCTCCGTAAAGTTCACAATCAGGTTTTCAAAAGGAGTTCCTCTAACACTTTACACCTGGGGTGGTGCTCTTGGCCCTTGACAGAGATTGTTTTTGGCACACAGACTTCACCTCTCATATACTGTCTTACTTATGCCAGAGAGCTTGGGGACATAAAAATGCTGGGCCAAGGTGGTCTTGAGAGCTTTCTGCCCTGACTAAGTTCCTTCATGGACCTGCTTGACAAATGTGGGAGACAGTGACTCTGGAATTTCAATATGGCTGTCAATGAATTTCCACCACTCACCTGGCAGGAAATTTCCTCCTTCAGTCTCAAACCAAGCCTGTTCTTGTTAAGTATACCATGGGGTCATGGGAACAAGGCAGCTTCAGTGAGACTGACATTTGTCCTCCTGTGAGGGCTGTTCACTTGGTTTCCCTATCAGCTTTCCAGTTTCCCTGAACAGCTGCTGTCTCCCCTTCTGGAGCCCTCAGCACCAGTGCCTTAGGGGCCCACACAGCTTCTAGCAATTCCAGAATTTCTTGTCCATATTTAACACTTTTTCCTCCCAAGTTAATGAGCCCCCTTTCTTTATATAGGGCTCCATGGACATG